CTTTAACCAAATAGTGTTTATTTCAGGTAGAGTAAAGAAAACTGCTGGAGAAACAAGAATACGGCGTCTCTCCAGTTGCACAGCCGTTCCTCTTCTGCCTTCTCTCATAGCCCGCGCACAGTCGCACACCCTCGCTCGCCACGGGGGGTCCACTTTGGTGTCGCATTACAGCTCCGCCTGGCTCGGCTCGCACGGTGCTTGTGGCCTGGCACTATATTTTGAATTCTGTCTCGCACAAAAAGAGCGCGTACACTGTGCTAATAAAGCTTTGATTGGACGAGAAAGCTCTACGCTGCCAGCAGCTTGTGAAACGGAGTGCAAGTCCAAGTACACGGACCTCAGGCATTTTCGTCTCCATCAAAAGTATGGTCGTCACAGCCGGGATATTATCCTGCAACCTGTGGGTCAGCAGCCAAGCACCCTAACCACTAGACGATCTTGGAGGTTGCATGTCACCTTGACACCAGCCGTGTTATGGAGCGTAACCTGCTGCAGATTTTCTCCTTCCTGCATGCTTCACATATACTAGCAATAGTGCTGTTGCAGTGTTTCAATTAAATGGGCTGGTGCCTTTCTCAGTGGTGGGGCAGGCTTCATGTAGTTAGATGCGAAGCAGCTCTTTGACTTGCCTGTGTAGCGCTGCCTGTCCGTGTAATGCTGTCTTCACGCCAATGCGCTGCACTGCGTTCCCCCCGCCGCAGTTGTTGAAATGATGCCAATTAGGTCAAGTCGCAGCTGCGCGTTGACATCTTTTTTTTTTTTTTTTGGAGCTGCCAGCAGCGGCCGGCTCCTTCCAACACACCTACTCTGTCTCACCACTTTGGTTCAGCACTACCAAAGCTATGCGGTGCAAGAGAGCCACATGCTCGCGCAGCGAAACAAAGTCCCACATACAAGTGCCTTAAAATTAACAGGGTTGGCTATAGTATTGGCATTTCTTTCGTGTGTTTTCTGCCACATCAGTACATGATATGTTTATTCTTCTTCATGTTTATTTGTTATGAATTTAATTATCTGTGTCAGTTACCGCTGATAAATGTGTTTACAAATCAACTTGGCAGCACCCATCCAAAAGTGACTACCCACTTTGGTTCGGAGTTGCTCTTGCTGCACGCCCACTGCGCTGACAGCACTGAACAAATGGTGAAATCAGCCATCGATTTGTTTCATCTCACTCTGGGACTTGAGCATCAAGTACGTTTTGTTAATATTAGCGAGATGAGCGGCTTGCTTAGCGGTACCTCATAAGCCTAACGCGCCGAGGCAGTATTTGACTGCGTTGTTGCACCAACAACGCTACATCTCCAAATAAATATTGGGCATGCAACATTGTACAGTATTCCGTGCGCGTCCGATCCTTCTTTGGTGGAAACGAAAAAAAGAGAGAAAAGGAGTGTTGCAGCGGGAGACACGAATAAACGCATTGACGGGTAAACAGACATACGAGAGCCACGAACAGCATCGGAGAGAAACAGCCACAAAGTGAGGTTATCCGCCGGCAAGAGATATTATACCGATCTTCAGCAGAGCAACAAATTTACGCTTCTTCAAGATCCTGGTGTGCTTGCTTGTTTAATATCTTTACTGCATTTTAAGTTAATAAACTAGCCATAATAACTACAATTCGTTGAGCAGACGCCGTGAATGCAACACGAATGAACACAAGTGCAGGGGCTAAGCATCCTTCCTGTTGGCTAAGAGGCCTGCAGCCTCCACAGTGCTGAAGGGAACTTCTGAAAGAGAGTATAGATGGTGTGTCTCCTCTGCCCACTCATAACACACTTCTCTCTCGCTTCACCCTCTCCACCGCCACCAACACTCGACCTCACGTCGAGTGGAGACACTCTATCGGCTCTTTTATCTGCCATGAAACTAAAAAGAAACCCAACTTGTCTCCCGTGACTTTGTGAAATAAACGTGAAATCGAGTAAAGGCTGCACCGAGTGTCGCTTCAAACCTTTCTTCCAGCACCTGCATCACCGCCAGTTACAGCTGAGTCAACTGCGTGTGCACCGTTGCTGCTTTGTATCCCATCATGATGCCCTTCGGGGAGATGGTTCATAATTTTTTAATCATATTCACTTCGGAGCATATGCATATTGGAAATTTTTGTAAGCTTGTGTGAATGGTGAATTTTAGTTAGAAGCGAATAAGTGTAGTATAAAAGTATATAATAAGAATTTCCAGCATCTACTGCAATCATTCCAGTGCGACTCGGATTAAACTTCATCATTCACTAAAATCATTACATGTTCGACGTCAAGTGTCCTTGTTATGTCTGTTTCGTAACTACGTCTACAAAATAACAAAACATCATTGTTACAGCTAGAACGCTCCTCACATCGTGCAGATTACATAATTATCTCGGATTCACGCGCATATTTGGTAACACATATGCATTTAATAAATCAGCGCTACCGCAAGCCATCCGCATGTGGAGTGATCTTCCCGATGATATCGCCTCTGATAGTAACCTGAACACGTTTTGACACAAACTTGAGATTTTTTTTTTTTCGATATAGCATTGCAAGTTACTTTTTCTTTTTATTTTCCCCTTATCGTTTAACTTTAGAGATTTTTAATATTGTGAAGTGTTGAGTGTTTTTTTTAATTTTTGAATTGATAACTGAATGCACTGTTAATTTTTTTTTTTTACAAAGCACTGTAGCATTGTTTTTCGTGCTTACTTCTGATTTTTACTGTAACCCCCCTTACTCATTGCTTTCGGGGCCTGTAAGGTATTTTTCAATAAATAAATATATAACGTAAAGAAAAATGGTCATATTTGTCATGACATAACTAACCTGCCCAGTATTTTTTTTTTTAAGTTCACTATACTAGCAGCAGGTATAGGCTGGTATCATCATCATCAGCCTGACCGCACCCACTGCAGGGCAAAGGCCTCTCCTATTATCCGCCAATCAATCCCGTTTTGTGCTTCCCATTGCCACGTTGTACTTACAAACTTTTTTTTTCTCTATGGCCCACCTACCTTTCTGTCTCCTCTTTGTGTGTTTGCCTTCTCTGTAAGTCTAGTCAGTTACCTTTAAAGGAGCACTGACATCAAATTTACTCATGCCAAAATTTTTGCATCAACGAGTAGCTATAGACCCTGTAGCAGCGATTCGCGACCTAAAACGCAACTGAGGGATGAATAACTATCACTTTTATTGATTTATATTACTAGGATTCAGCACTATTCGAAAACAGCCGGCAGTCCTGCCATTTTTAGCGCTGGGAGCACCAGCAGTGGCGCTACCTCGCAGTCACTTCCAGATCACGCCGCATCTGACCACTTCTACACAGAAAAAAGTGACGTCAGGCTTAGCTGCTCCGCAAACATTTCGTCTGCTAGACGGACACATTTAGTCATGCCTTGTCACCTGTATTGCTGTCGTCGCCGTACAAAGCATCGACTCGGGTTCAATAGGATACTCTGGAGCTTGGAATCTCCACGATTCGAGACGTCGGGAATTATTTTTGCTTCGATCGACCTTTTGCGAAACAGTGATATTGAAATGGACGCCTTTCCAAGCAGCACTGCAGAGGTGCCCAAGGATACACGCTTCAGCCATGTTCGCTCGTGTGTCTCAGTTAGCTATATGTTTTGGTGTGCAAAGCATTCAGGTATAGGCAGAAGGGTCAATGCAATATAGCTATCGGGAACGAGCATTAGAGGAGAAATAGAATACGTTTCCTGCATGTCAGGTTCTTGTTTGCGCCTCCAGATGGCCCCACTTATCCAGCCTCTCCCTGTTGACACGGTATTACCATTTTTAAGTGGACGCAAAGTCTACAGATGAACTAAAATTCAACGATAGCTGCATGTTTCTTGTTAGCGATGATATCTGACTACACCCTCTTCGACTTTTGATAGCTTGTGGTCGTGTTGATGTGTAACAGATACGTGATATGAAAAGACACCCTCATGATGCTTTTTCTTTGCTTCGAACTAGATGACTGCAACTCACCTCCAACTCACAACGATTCCCCGACATGCTCGCCGACAAGCACACGTTTAATCATGCTCTTTTTTTTTCGCCATTTTTTTAAAGGTGTTTTTATCTTGATAATTTCACGAAATCATTCAAACCGGTGCGATCAAGATCAGACGCGACGAGCCACGGCCGGACTAGACTGCACCTGCGCACGCTAGCCTGGCCGTAGCCCGGTCGTGGGCAAGTGAGTGCGTTTCTGCACTTCGGCGACAGTCGGCGCCACGATAAGAACACTCAGATCGTACACGTGATCGCTACTAGGGCATCGTCACTTAAGATTGTATTTGTGGAATGTATCACAGCAAACACGTAGCCCTAGTGTTGATGTTGCAGAGCAGTCTATTTTTCATTTTTTTCTCCTTAGCTTTTCTATGCTGTTTGACATCAAATTAAAATAACTTCCACGCGACAGATGCCGTTCAAATTTGGCCAAGAAGACCTATGCATACCAAGCGATCGAATAATGAGCACATCTCAATCTTGAAATTTGATGTCAGTGCTCCTTTAATGGCCAGTAGGCTGGTATATTACTATAACAAGCTTTAAACTTAAAGAAATGAATCGGATGTGAGGGTAATATGATCATTTAACCTTTAAATGGGGCTTCACAGCAATGTGGGTTTCCCTCTGGATGGATGTTTTCACGGTTTAGCACCACTCTATAGTGAAACCACTTTTAGAGGGTTTGTATGCAAACTAATATTAACTTTTTTTGTTCACTTTGACAAAATTTTCGACAATTTAAATTTGAATTGAAGTGAATTTGAATACAGTAATATTTGAACATTCAAAGCATTCGGATATTCCCACAAACCTACTATTTCGAGAGCCTTAAAGGTATGTTGGGAGTTCTGTGTCAAGCTGGTGTCTTGACTTCGCTGAAGCAGGTGACTGTGGTAGCTGTGAATGTGGCATGTCATCGCAGTTGTGTGAAACCAAACTTCACTGCACCATACCTTGTATCTTTAGCTGGCCATACAATAATGCACTCAACTGTTACAGGATTCTCTGGTGCCGGATGCTTGCCTTCCCACAACACCGCAAAAGAAGGAAGGGCTGTCATTCAGCCCACTGCTTTCGTCCAAGAACCGCTTGACACCTCCTTCGGGCAGTTCTACGACGCGTTCCTCAGTTGTGCGGCTTCGGACACCACAGAGGGCCCCACCATCTCCTCGCAAGAGGCGCTCGCTCTATGACTTCCGGGCGGAGGTGGGTGAAGCTGGGGGTCTGTGCTCTTGTTTATGTGTAAGTTATCACAACATTATTCTGTCATTTATAATCTCCCCTATAAAATTACCAAAAGTGACTGAATCATAAGGGGCCCAGCAACACTATTTGAAACGTGGGGAGAAAATGCTGGTGATTGGTAATCAAGGCTACTGAGAGCCTATAAACCCAACATTGCGGTGCAGAGCCACTTCTGCGCCAACTGCGCCAAAGTGCGCCAAATCAGATTTGCTTCCCGCTAGTGCGCACATACCTTTCCCGGCTGTCGCCGGCGTTGTGAGGGTTAGCGAAGCCAATCTCGTTCGCGGTATGGCGATGTCAACACCGACAAGGCGCGAGCCAGGGACGCCTATTGCAACCGTCGGCAGTGGAAGAGCAGCGACATCGGCGAGGTACCAGTCAAGAACCCCGATCGCCCCGCCGTGGTGGTCTAGTTACTAACATACTCGGCTGCTGACCCGCAGGTCGCAGGTTCGAATCACGGCCGTGGCCACTGCATTTCCGATGAAGGTAGAAATGTTGTAGGCCGTGTGCTCAGATTTGGGTGCACGTTAAAGAACCCCAGGTGGTCGAAATTTCCGGAGCCCTCCACTACGGCGTCTCTCATAATCATATGGTGGTTTTGGGACATTAAACTCCACAGATCAATCAAGAACCCCGATCGCGTTCGAGAATTCGAATGGCACGCAAGTAACACCGACAAGACATGAGCCAAGGAAGCCGAGCGCAAGCGTCTTCAACACATCCCGCCTCCCATGTTTTTGCGTTTCAAAGAAATTTTCACTTGAGTGAACGCTCCACAAAGTTTTCCTTCGAACCGTTCTTTCAGCACCCGTGTCCTGTCCCCTGTGTCTGCGTTTCAAATAAACGTTTAGCCCCGCCGCGGTGGTCTAGTGGCTAAGGTACTCGGCTGCTGACCTGCAGGTCGCGGGATCGAATCCCGGCTGCAGCGGCTGCGTTTACGATGGAAGCGGAAATGTTGTAGACTAGTGTGCTCAGATTTGGGTGCACGTTAATGGTGCATTCAGGCGACAGATCGAATCCCGATGTGGCGGGACGGACGGTGCGTCACGTGACCTCACATCAGCGATTCCCCTCGTCCGCGACTCGTCCGCATGGCTTGCGGACGGATGAACCCAACCTGTTTGTCACATCGGAATTCTGGCGGGGGAGAGCCGGTACTTCAGCGGAAAAGCTTGGGGTCGGTGGCAACCAGTACACTTTTCGTCTGCTCGCAGGCATGTCCTCCATGGCTCGCGGACAGCTGCATGACTGGTCGGCATCATCTACGTTTGAGCATTGTTTACTTAGTTTCCGGAGACTTTGTTCTCAGGTGATTAAATATGCAGAAATCACTTTTGGTGGTTCGGGAAATGTCGCCGCTGTCGCTTAACACGCGAGATTCTTAGCCGTCATGGTGGTGAAATATTCCAACTTCTGCAACCGGTGACGTGCCGCTTCTAAAAAAAAAAAAAAGGCAGAGACACGTTTAGAAGTTCTACAAGTGGGGAATAATGTAGTTGAAAGAATATCCTGCTAGCAACTCCCTTTTCTCCTGAAAGAATAACACTACTCGTTCATTTGTCACAACACGACAGACATCGCAGCCAAGCTTCGCTTCTTGCGGGCATTCATGTTGAATACTCTCAAACCGGTCTGCTGCCAGCGGGCGCAGGTGAGCGCCGAATCTGCTGTCGAGGGTAATCCGGCTGTTTTCTCCTAGGACACCGTCCGTCGTGTGGATGCGCCTGCAGGCGGACCATCCGCGGATTAGCTGTCCGCGTCCACGACAAATCCGGATTCGGTCCGTCGTCTGAATGCACCATAAAGAACCTCAGGTGGTCGAAATTTCCGGAGCCCTCTACTACGGCATCTCTCATTATCATATGGTGGTTTTGGGACGTTAAACCCCACAAAGCAATCAATCAATCAATCAACCAATCAATCAAACAAACGTTTACTCAAGTAAACGCTCCACCGAATTTCCCCTCAAACCGTTCTTCCAGCAACTGCTTCCTGCCTCCCGCGTCTGCGCTTCAAGCAAACGTTTACTCGAATAAAGGCTCCATTGAGTTTCCCCTCAAACCGTTCTTCCAGCAACTGCTTCCTGCCTCCCGTGTCTGCATTTCAAACAAATGTTTACTCCAGTAAAGGCTCCACCGAGTTTCCCCTCAAACCGTTCTTCCAGCAACTTCATCCTGCCTCCTGTGTCTGCGTTTCAAACAAATGTTTACTCGAGCAACCGCTCCACTAAGTTTCGCTTCAAATCATTCTTCCAGGACCGGCGTCGACACCCGTTTCAACCGGGTCAATGCCGTGCGCATCGCTGCTGCTTCGGATCTCGTCAGGGTTCCCTTCTGGGAGATGGTCCCTAGTTCATCAGGAATGTTCATTCAAAAGTGCTTTTTTGCAGTTCCTTCCATCAGTACATCTACGTTTGTAATTGCTGTTGCAGTAAAAACCCCCAACAAACTCGAAACTGCTAGTGTCCGAATTCAAAATCTTTGCGAGCCTCTCTTTTTTTTTTATAGTCATGTCATTCATAAAAGCATGCCTCCTGATCGGAGCAGCCGCAATTCCGTTTCAATACGCGCAGCTTTCAGTAGTGAGGCCATCAGTGGCGGCTCTGGCGTCGAAAGGCCCACTGTGAAATGGCTGCACCTTGTTACACACTCACCTCTCGCTTTCCAGTATCAATAGCTGGCAGTTAAAAAAAAGGAATTGAACGGCATCGGTCATTGCTTCGGTTTTTTTTTGGGGGGGGGGGGGGGGGTGAGGCTGTGTTGCTTGGAGGGTGCAGTCCCTGGCGCGCGCTATATCTCAAGGAATAATGAGACTGGTCGTAACCTTTCTGTGTTACTAACCTCTGCTTTGCAATATAACTGATGGCTAAACAACGGCTTCGGCAACTGGAGTGACCATTGTCCATTTAGCCAGCATTTTGCTGAGGTATGCAATATCGAGTTGAAAGGGTACAATTAGTTTCAAGTTCTCAGGAATGAATGTGATAGTAAGAAATTGTATTTTGATACCAAATAATAAGGCTTCACGTCATCCGCGAGGAGCGCCAGCGACGGGGTTGCCATTTCGAAGGTCTGCGCATTTGGCACTCTCGCAAAAACTTGCTGCCCACACGGTGTTCGATATCCGTACAGTGAGTTGGATGACAATAGACTCCTAGAACACTTCTTGCATTTAGGGGCGTAGCCTCTTGTGGTATGATGTAACCATCAACTTAAAGGGCCCATAAACCACCCTGAGGTCGAAATTTATTTTTTGTGGGGTAATTGTGCATGAGTGTACGACAAACACGAAGCAGTGAGAATTTTTGATACGGTACCGTAATAACGTATTTAGTCGCGTTTGATTATGGAAACCATGATGACCACACCTTTCGCTCTCTCCTGGGCTTGCCGCCGCTGGTATCCTCTTTCCCTTTCGCTAAGTGGCCCTCTCAAATTCGCGTCGCATACGTCATCACTGACGCACTGCTTGAAACACCATTTACTTCTAGTTTCCGCGACTCCAATCCTTGACTCCGTCAGTTCCTTGCTTGTTGGCGAACCTTGGGTGCCGTGATCATGCCGGTATAAAACCTGCGTTACAAATGCCTTCAAAAGATTGCCAACGTGAGGAACCAGTACAGGGACACGCCGCGCTCTGCACGTGTTACACGCCTGCAGGCAACATGATGAACAACAACAAGCAGTGCAGACAGCTGCTTTCAGATTGACCGGAAGTGGTAGGCTCTTGCTTGAGAGCATATTTGACATATTTGGCTCGGTGCGCCAGAGATGTGACACGGCGCGTCACGCGGAGGCCCGAAAGGCTTGAAAGGAGAAGGGATTGTTTCTTGGAATTTGTGGTGCGCCGGCGGCTCGTAGCGCTGCCACATGCAGAATCGTTGATCGCGACAGCATTCTGCACTCGCTGCACGCATTTACTTAAAATGCTTGAAGAAATATTTGTGGTGGTTGGCAGGTCCTTTAAGCTTGTAGCTAAAGCGAGATGGAAGCCACGGCCAACAGCAATGTTGACAGGCACGTGCTTCGCTGCTCTAGATAAGTGTGGTTATATCTGCACAGCACAAACGGTTTGTACAAATGGGTCTCTAAAATGGCGCAACAGTGGTGTGGCTATGCCATGAGTAAGAGGCACGAGGCATGTGCCGAACATGGAAGCGTGGCGACAGCACACGAGGAGAAAAGAGTCATTCAAGGGCACGCGCACCAGCGACGTAGACGAAAGAGATTGGTCAGAGAAAGGCTCGTGGCAAGCGACCAGAGCTGAGAAGAAAAATCTCGGAGGATGAATTGGCACTGGTTGTTGGGACGCCAAGCTTCAAAGATGTGGGAAACGAGCGTCGTTTTGCTGATGAAAGCAAGAACTGCCCAGTTCTGAGGATGTCCGCAAAAAGGTTCGGGAAGTTGCCATCGATATCGGAATGATCGTGTGAGGCTGCCCGGACTTGCCGCAACCTGTCACAGCAGTTCCTGAGTGAATCACAGCTCCTCTGCTTCGATCAAGAATATATGCGGCCCGCACCACAGGTAGGACGCTGTTGAAAATTTAGGTGCAGCCTAACTGAACTGGAGAATACGCCAAAAACTGGAGCCAACCGAAAATCAGGTCGAGTGGCTCTTTCGGCGAAAGTGGACGACGATGGGAACTTAGGGAAGACGTTGACGACAGGCTTCGATGCACCCTCGCACAGCACGGCACAGCAAGGGGCAACGAGTCGCAGTGCAACTAGCCATAAGAACATTCTATGGATGACGCCATATTGGCTTAGGGCTAGCAACTAGGGCTAGCGATAGATTGGGACTGAGCGGCAGTCTGTTTGGGTTTGCGTAATGCTATCAAGGATGACTTAGCTGTTGGTTGTTATTAAGCTTTTGATTGTTATGTGGGTTTTGAGTGTTATTGTGTGTCAAAAAAAGAAATTAACGCGAATTCTGTGTGACGTACTGCAGACTGGTCGA